CTCCCACTGGAGGGAGGAGGAAGGGGTGGCGGCATTCTCACCCCAGGAGTAAGCAATGGTTTGTGAGCAGGTTTCCGCTACCATGTCGTCTGGGATCTGTCAACCCAGAAGAATTCATCCTCCACAAATGTGTAGAGAAGGAACCTCCCCAAGACCATTCAATTAGTAAGGGGGCATGGTCCGAGATCCCTCGAGTAACCATAGAAGTTTTGTACCGAATGCTAGGTCTATTCTAGAAAGAGTACCATGTTTAGACAAATGGCTCGAATAGACTCTAGACTGCGGATACCTTCACCTCCAGACATCAATCAGATTAAAGCTACTAATTCAGTCACAAAAACCAGGCCAAGGGTGCCCCGCTCCACCTAAGCCGTCCAACAGTTGCTCAGGTACTAAATTGAAATCTCCCAGCAAAAGCAAGGGAGCAGGGGCATATTTAATAGCTCAAAAACAGTGTGCAGGAGTTTAGTCTCCAAGTGGGGAGGCACATAAATAGCGACTAAGGTCAAGGGGACATAGATGTAGAATGACAAACCATCCTAAGGGATCAATTTTAATCTGAAGAATTTCAGTGGTAAAGGTCTTAGCTACCAAAACAGAGACTTCCCAGGAATAGGAAAAATAGATGGTATTGATGGACCTACCCACCCAATGTTTCTTTAGGGCCAAAACCTAATAACCCACCAGGTGTGTCTCCTGCAGACAAACTATATGAGGCTTATATTTAGATAGGGAGTCAAAAACCAGGGACCACTTGAGTTCGGAGTTCAGCCCCCTGACATTCCAAGAGTTAAACCGATATACCATAGGCATTTACACAAAACGGAAATTTCACACCTGTACATATACATTAAGACATTGACAAAAAGGCAAGGTTTAAACAGATCTGAGACAAACTCCTAGCAGTACGAGAGCTAAAGTAACAAGAACTTCCAATTCCATCCCTCTCTACTCGTTAACCCAACTCTAACAAGCTTTTTAATACCCAAACAGAGATGTAAACAAGCGAAATTTGCTCAAGGAAGCAATCAAGGTTGGGGGGTGTCAAACTCTCTCGGCCTGAATTGACAAAGAAAAATCAAACCTCTCCCAGTCCAGACCAAGGAGAAAGGTGAAAAGCCACTCAAACTGTGTCGTTCAATAAACATGTGCCAGGGTTTCTTACCCTTCCTTGTCAAGTTGCTCTTATGCTCAAACCAGTTATCATTCTGCCCTATGGCAAAACCCCTGACAAATTCCTGTCTCAGAGTGATGATACAAACACCAGCTCACTATTTGACCATCAGCTTGTCCATTCAGTCTCTGCCCTTGCATTTGTTCTGATCAACCAAGCCCGCTGCTGCTGTTCCTGGTTTCCGGGTATCGCCAACCCCCTCCACCCCTCCCAGAGCGCTTATTCCTGGACTTTTTTCTCAACTTTCGCCTTCCATGCTTGCTTTCCCCATAAGCCTTTTGTTTTCCAGCGGGGAAAGGGGTTGTTGAGAGGAGGGTACTCTCAAGGTTTCTTACCCTTCCTTGTCCAGTTGCTTGTATCGTGGCTTGTGTGGTGTTTCTGGCACCCGTGTTCCTCTTTGGCGCCCTCTTTATGCTCAAACCAGTTAACATAATCACTCTGCACTACTGGCAAAACTTCTGGCAAATTCCTGGCTCAGAGTGATGATGAAAACACCAGCTCACTATTTAACCATCAGCTTGTCCATTCAGTCTCTGCCCTTGCATTTGTTCTTATCAACCAAGTGCACTGCTGTTGTCCCTGATTTCTGTGTATGACCTTGGCTCTGGCTGACTAATCTTCTGAATCTTTCTGAATCTGGCTTTGTTTCCGTTCATCCTGCTTTGTGCTCCCTCAGCTAACTACCCGTTGTGGCTTCTGACCTCTGGCTTCGCGCTGACGACGTCCTGGACTTATCCATTGTTTTTGCATTTATAGTTACATAGTATTTGAGATTGAATAAAGACACAGGTCCATCAAGTTCAACCTTTATGTGTAAGTGTGTGTACTGCGTGCATGTATGTATATGAGAACAGTAGAAAGGCATCATGGCACACTCACAAACTAGCATGTAAAACAACTTGTCTCACCACTAAGGACAATGACAGAGGTTTGGATACACGTCTTCTGCAAAGGATGTGTAAGCCGCACTGCCGCGCCAAGGCACCTCTTATAGTGCGGTCCTAACTCTAAACTATGAGAGTCTCCATCTTGGAGCACATGGGGCAGAAGATATCAAATTGGGTGCAGGCTTGTCAGGAGGACGCCCCACCTCCTTAATGTATATGAGTCCCTTGGGGTCTAAGGTTTTAAGAGCACCTGTACCTCTGTATGTTACTGTCTCTGAGGAAGGTGTGTAATTGATTTTTGAATGATTCAATACTCTCTGCTGATACTACTGCTTGTGGCAGAGAGTTCCAAAACCTAACCACCCTGACTCAGACAAAGCCCCTGCGCTTTTTGGTTAAATCTTTTCTCTACCAATTTTAAGTGATGACCTCTAGTCCTTGTTAGGGAGTTTAGAGTAAAAAGTTTATTGCTGATGCTGTCATCACCACTAAACATGTTGTACTCTAAAATGATGTCCCCCCTTAATCGCCTCACTTCTAGCGTGAACAAGTCTAAATCTAGTAACCTTGTCTCACAGCTTTGATCCTCCAGCCCCTTAGTTTAGTTGCCCTTCTCTGGACTCTCTCCAGCTCCAGGACATCCTTTCTGTGGATTGGCGACCAAAACTCAATCGCTTTGTCTCTACAGAACATTCCCTTTTTAATGCATGACAGTACCCTGCTAGCTTTGTTTGCCGCAGCCTGGCATTGCAAGCTATTATTTAATCTGTGGTCTACTATGACCCCCAAATCTTTTTCCATTTCTGACTTCCGTAGTGGAGTACCCATTAATGTGTATTCTGCTTGCCTGTTTTTAACCCAAAAATTCATTACTTTACATTTTCCAACATTAAACCTCATCTGCCACATAGTTGCCCACTCCCCTATTTTATTCAGGTCCTCCTGTAATGTTATAATGTCTAATCCCATTCTATTACCCTCCAAATTTTAGTATCATCTGCAAACACAGATACATTGCTATTAACACCTTCCCCAATATCATTAATAGGCAGGTTAAACAGTATTGGGCCTAGCACAGAACCCTGGGGCACCCACTCATTACTGTAGCCCATTGTGAAAAATAGCCATTTATCAATACTCTCTGGACACGTTCCTGTAGCCAGTTCTCAATCCATGTGCACACCGTGTCATCTATACCCATCGATTTAAGCTTTTGTATTAAGCAATTATGTGGTACCGTATCAAATGTTTTTGCAAAATCCAGGTACACCACATCCACTGGTTTTCCTCTATCCAGATCTCTACTCACCTCTTCGTGGAATGTTAGTAGGTTGGCCTGTTTGCTGCTGAATCGGATTTGGCTTGTGAACTTGTGCAATGACTGGGATACTTCCCAGAGTTTGAGATGTTCATCACAGTCTACTAGACTTCTACTCTTTTGTGGGCTTCTGTATGAACCCTGTTGCAGGGTTGCTTTGCGTATGGTTCTTTTGGTGCTTTATTTTCTCTTATCCTATGGTATATTTTCCTCTCAGGGGTGCTTGCTGGTTGTCATCAGTTTTGCAAGCCAGGTTTTCTTAGCTGGTGGTGCTGTCCTGTTAGACCTTCTTGGTCCTCTGCAGGTGTGTTTTAGTCAGGAGACCCAATGCCTCTTTCTTTCCTGGTGTGATTTTGTTTTTCTACTTCTGTCAGGGCATGTACTTCTGTCAGGGCATGGTTACCTCATGTTTCTGTCCTGCTTCAGTGCCACGGAAATACTTTTCTTTCCATTACTTTGATGCCTTGTGGGTTGTCTAGCTGCCAATGGTCCCGCTCATGAGTCTGGTTATGGGCCACCTGTTTAGGTGGATCAAGTGCCTGCACAGTTCCTATGTCTAGGGACCACTTTTGTGAAGGGGGTTACTTTTTCTGTTAACTCGCATATTTTATGGGTGGCATTTTTCTGTTCCTGCCTTAGGGGAGGAGTTTAGCTTCCCACCCCTCAGTAAACACTGCTTTGGGACTTCCCTATCATCAGAGATTCAAGATCTCTGCTGTGTCCTTCAATGAATGGAAGAGCAAACAGGATTTATGTATGCACCGTAAAAACCTTTTCTATGTGTTCATTGAAGGACACAACACCCTCCCCTCTTGTTTCTGGTTCCTGTCATCCATTTATTTGTGTACTGTATGTGACTAACTGAGCTGCCCCTAGCTGTTAGAGGCCCCACTGTCAGGGGCCACCCAAGTCTGTGCCTTTGTTGGTTTGCCTAGTGACCTATTCCTGAAGGTGGTGCTATAACCCTATCATCAGAGATTCACCTCCTCTGCTAATATTGCAAAACATTCTGGGTTTTCTAAAGCGAGAGCCCAGCAGCAGCTGCTTACTCTTTGTCTCCGTTTAGCAAAAAATTAAGGACCACATGTACAGAGCAGAGGTAGGACTGTGTGTGTGTGTACAGCGGTAAAGCAAATTCCACATAACTGCATTAGCCACTGCATAGGAGAAGGAAGCAGCTCAATTCCAGGAAATAATTTGAGGCATTCTCATTTTTGTTTCATGACAATGACTTGCTCTGCTATGTAATAATTTTGCATATATACTGTACATAAAGGTTTGAAGTGCACAGATTTTTTTTATTGCCTGAATAATCTTTGAGTCTGTTGTACCACTTAGATTACTATCACTTTCACACTTTTGTCTTAACAAGTACAAATCAGTGTTTTAACAGAAGTTCTTACCATTATATAGTTGTTAGCAAACACCTTTCCTTGTTATTTTATGGACCACAGCTATTTACTTGTTATGGCCATTGTAAGGGACATGATACAGAGTAAAAATTGTAATACTTGACCAATTATAGACCTTTAAGTATATTGTTTCAAGGTTTGTTTCTCATTTTTTTCTTTATTTGTTTTCTATTTTTGTTTGTCTTGGTCCCTTCTTTTTCCCAAAATAGTTTAAGTTTTGGGGGATCTTTTCTCCTGCATCTCCTCCTGTGCGTCGGGCCCCCCGCTTTGCAGCCCGTCCCAAGGTACAATTGCTTGTCCCAGCAGACTGAGTGTATCACCTAACTCTTGACATTATGCCAGCTTTCTAAATCCTCAGTAGCCAAGGCTGTATGATGTTGCTCTTACCAAGCTTGCAGCTTGAAACTGAAATCAATAAATGCCTTCATTGTTCATGTTGTTAAGATTCTTGGGTGACTTGTCAGCTCTGTTCATGAAAAGATACTAACTGATTTATTGCATTCTAACTTCTCTGAGGTTTTTCCTGGGAAAGCAAAGAATGTTATAGGACCCAAATAATTCTATTGCAGTCCATTGCTTGTATTGTTCCCATGAAAAGGTGATTTATTTCTGCTTTAGTTCATCTAAACGTAATTTTTAGAGGTAATTGTGTCCCATAATAACTGTCAATCATGATTTGTTTAATCCAGCTTGTTTGCTTGTTTTTTGTGCTGTTATAAAGAACATTTTACAGAGACAAAACCAAACTCAAACCCCCTCCAACCCCTTTCCCACCCATTCCAAAACCCTGGTGGATAGGTATACATTTTTTGGCACAGCAAGGCAATGCTAAACAGGAGCTTTGAGACAAATGTATTATAATATTGCAATTAAATAATACATTTACCCCTAAGCTGCTCTAAAGTAATAGTGCAACAGAATAAAACATGCCCCGACCACTTCTTATTTGTGAGTTTGTTTTAGATAAAGACCTGCCTCATGTTGATGAAAAACCTCTTTATCTCCAGTGGTAATTCTGTTGCAGACCTACGCAATAGGGTCTTGGTTGCCTGTGCTGGCGCAGGGGTTGCAAATACACAAAAATAAAATTTTCACATAGACTTTGCTAACTGAAATGCAGCATGAAGGTTTAAAATCCTTGTCCCTATTTATAGTATGTACAATAATTGTGCTCAAACTAGCCTCAAGGTGTTATCAAAGTGACTGCCTGTGAAACACTTCCCAAACGCAAGTACTTATCTGATTTAGTTATCAATGTGACTAATTGTGAAACACTTTCCAAAAAGAGGGATTGTGGCAAAATGCCAAAAGTGCAATTTTTTGGCCGAAATAGAGGTGCATCCGTGTTTTCTCTCCTCCCCGCTGGGCGCTGCTCTGTGTCCCAGCGTGGAGGAGAGAAACTGTCACAGGAGGCCGAGCTGTGCAGGAGGAGAGCGCTGTGAGCGGCCGGCGTGTCTCTTCCCCGCACTGCTCAGCCTCCTCTGACAGATCAGGACAGCGGCGGTGTGGACGGAGACAGCCATTGCTGTCACAGGAGTCTGAGCTCTCCTCCCGCACCGCCAAGCCTCCCGTGACAGCGTGTCAGGATGGAGAGCGCGTACAAACACTCAGTGATAAGTGATCACTGAGTGTTTGTAAATAATTGAGGACACAGTATGTTTACTGTGTCCTCAATTATGAATGAATGGGGGTGATCTACATCACCTCCTGTTTATTCATGAATGTGGATATAGTAATAAGTTCTGAATGAACAGGAACAATCCGTATAGAGGATTCCTGTTCATTGATAACAGGGGCTGCAGAAAAAGAGATTGAGGACTCTGTGTCCTCAATCTCTTTTTCTATTTGAAAAGGAAAATATCAGAGGTCTGTAGAAATGAAAAAAAAATGTCAGGCCGAAACTGAAAATGTTGTTTTTATTCTAACGTTTTCAAATTTTTTATAATATTTAATATTTTAGAAACTTTTACTTTTTTTTAGATTTTATTTATTCATTTTTAACCACTTCAAGACCAGGTGTTTAGACCCCCTTCCTGGCCAGGCCATTTTTCAGTATTCACCTCTACAGTACTTTGAATGACATTTATTCCGTCATGCAACGCTGTACTGAAATATATTTTATACAATTTTTGGGGGATAGATAGAGCTTTCTTTTGGTGGTATTTAATCACACTTTATTTTTTACTATATTGAGGAACAATTATTTTTTACTATATTGAGGAACAATTATTGAAAATTTTGACAAAAATATTTTTTTCATTATATTAGGAAACAATGATTACCCATATTTTTGGTAAAATATAAAAGACGGGGTCACGTCGGGTAAATAGACACCAAACATGTCAAGCTTTAAAATTGCGCGCACCAGCGAAATCGCAAAAAAAAACTACCATACCCAAAATTTACCATAGGCGAAGCTTTAAAAGCGTTTACCGCTCATCAGTTTAGTGTTATCAGTGATTGATAGCCCTAAAATGATTGCTCTCATTCCGACGTTCGCGACGATATGTAACATGTGCGGGGTAATGGGCGCAATCGTCCTTTTCGTACATATGCGCACCCAATGCCTGTTTGCATGCGTGTATGTATGGGGGGGACTTTAAAAAAAAAAATTTTTACATTCTTTTTATGTGTAACTTTAAATTGTTTGGGGGGAAACTTACATTTTTTTTTCCTATTTTTTTTTCTCACTTAACTTTATTGCTATCCCATAGGGGGCTAAGAAACCCCCTTATGTGATAGCAAAATAAGTGACAGGTCCTATTTATGGAGACATCAGGGGTCTCCAAGACCCCTAATGTCACCTAGGACCCCCCTGAAGAAGCTGATGAAGCAGAGATCTGCTTAATCAGCTTCTCTCCAGCATTTGAAGCTGGAGAGTGACACAAGAATGCGGAAGTGATGTAATATACATCAGTTCCGCATTCTGACAGCGGAGAGGAGACCGGAGGGAGTTTGTGTACCGATCTTCCTCTGATCCCCTGTCAGAGTGGCACTATGCTGCTCCCGGGCACAGCGGAGCCCGGGGACAGCGGGAGGGGCGCACGTATCGGGACCTTTATACAAGCGATCCGCCGGCTCTATAGCCGGCGGATCGCTTGTATGTTAACAGGCATCGCTGCCAAAGGAAATGTCTCTCCACTGTCTGGATGTGGTACACTCTGCTCAAGTATGTTACCACCTCCTACGGAGAGTCAGACTTGCCTGCAACCCTTTCATTTTGGCAGTGTCCGATCACCTGAAAGTAGCATATACAGTAGGCATAGAAAAGAATCACTCCCCTTTAAAATCACATTTTGTTGCTTTGCAGCCTGAAATTAAGACATACACAGTTCTTGTTTTATCCAGCTGTATTTACTTAGTGGAACTTATAACATCCAAGTAAAAAATATAACACCAACATGTCAGGAAAAAAAATTTCAAAAACAGAATCACTGAGTTGGAAAAAGGATCACCCTCTCCTAAAAATGACTTGTAAACTCAATCAGGTTTAGCTAATCACCATCTCAATGGCACACAAACCCATTTCACTTTCAACTGTGATCAGCTGTTGTCATTTTGTATTAGCTCAGCATGAAAAGAGCTTTCCTGGAGCATTTCAATCCCTATTAGTGCAACTGAAGTAAACAATCAACTGTAGGGGGCAAGGCACTGTCAAAAGATCTCCGGGATAAAGTTGTGGACAGTCACAAATCAGAAGATGGATAAAAAAAAATTCAAAGGCTTTATCAAGGCCTGGAAGCACAGTGAAGTCTAATATTAAGAAGTGGAAGGTATTTGGTATAACACAGACCCTGCCTGGATCAGGACCTTGCTCCAAACTGGATGAAAGAGCCAGGAGTAAACTGGTCAGGGAGGCTACCAAGAGGCCTACAGCAACTCTGAAGCAGTTGCAGGAAGGTATGACAGAGTGGTCATTGCGTGCATGTAACAACAATATCACAAATTCTCCACAAATGTGGCTTGTATGGGAGGGTTGCAAGAAAAAAGCCACTCGTAAATAAAGGCCACATGCAGCCATGACTGAGCTTTGCCAAAACACACCTTGAAGATTCTGAGGCCACATGGAAAAAGGTGTTATGGTCAGATGAGACTAAAATTGAATTGTTTGGCCCTTAACACCAAACGATATGTCTGGTCGCAAATCCAATACAGCTCTCCATCCAAATAACACCATTCCTACAATAAAGCATGGAGGTGGTAATATCCTGTTATGGGGGTGTTTCTCTGCAGCGGGGACTGGAGCACTTGTCAGGATAGAAGAAAAAAAATGGATGGGACAAAAGGCCGTCACATTCTTGAGGAAAATTGGCTGCCCTCCCATCTGCCAGAAAGTTGTCAATGGGGAGAAGGTTTACCTTCCAACATGACAATGACCCAAAGCACACAGCAAAAATGACCACACAGTGGTTGAAGGAAAAAAAGGTGAATGTCTTTGCATGGCCTAGTCAGAGTCCAGACTTAAACCCCATTGAAAATCTGTGGAATGACTTCAGTACACAACTGGTCACCATCAAATTTAACTGAACTTGAGCAGTTCTGCAAAGAAGAGTGAGAAAATATTGCAAAGTCTAGATGTGCAAAGTTAGTAGAGACATATTCCAACAGACTAAAGGCTGTAATAAAGCAAAAGGTAGTTCAACAAAATACTGACACAAGGGGGTGATCCTTTTTCCAACTCAGTGATTCTGTTTATTTATTTTTTTCTGACATGTTGGTGTTATATCTTTCACTTGGATGTTATAAGTTGCCCTGAGTAAATCAGCTGGATAAAACAAAAACTGTGTCTGTCTTCATTTCAGGCTGCAAAGCAACAAACTGTGAGTATTTTAACGGGGGGCGGTGATTCTTTTCTATAGCACCTGTAATCCAGGGTCTAAAGAGCCTGTGCCCTGTACTCTACGCCAAGAAAATAATTTTTAAAGATAAGTCAAAAATCCTGTTATAGTAATTTTGTAAGTTATGTGTGATAAACATTTGCGCAACTATTGGCAGATGTACAAAATCAGCAGCACTATCCTTTTATTCTACATGTCCCGCTTTTAGAAACTGTATGGTTTGGGGAACATTTTACAAACTTTCAAAGCTACAAGCATAGAAGAATTAAACATAATTAAAAAAGTGAAGAATGCCAAAAATGGTCTGGCCACCTGAGGTTAAAAGTGGAGAGCAGGGCCTGGCAATTAAAGGGTTAAACTAAGACTAACCATTTTAGGTGGTTTATAAATGTTTTGATGATACCTATTGAATTATAGATATATAATAAAGGAACTGTGAGAAAATTAGTATCTGGGTCTCATCGCAATAAGCTTCAATATAGCCAAACACAGTACTTCCTCCACCATATGGCACTGACATGCACACATTGCTTATGCCCAACCTTTTTGATGAGCTAATATATATATATATATATATAAAGCAATATATATATATAAAGCAAATATAAAAAGTTTGCGTTTAGCAGGTGACTTGCTGTGTTATGCATTAAATGTTTTTGTTATCGATTGGGGTGATTTACAAAAACGAGACCAGCAATATCTCTAATGTAAGTTTGTAGAAAAAAAAATCTTTTTTTTATTTCTAACATACTGTATTCACTGTCATATTAGATCATTAATACAAACCACAATTTAAATGTGTTATGTTGTCAAGCTGAAGTCTAACTCTGTGTTCTTTGTAATTGACTTGCTCAAACTAAAACAACATTTATTTATTTTTAGCCTGCTGTTGTCGTTCCTCACAGAATTCACTCAACCAGTAGGAGTGTGAGAGAAGAAAGGACACGGTCAGAAATTAACTGTAAGCATTAACGCATTATACCTTTACTTGTGGGATTCTGTATGGTGTTCATTATGTATGGTTTCTTTATTTGTAGGCCTGATACATGGGTGTTCATGTCTTTCAGCCTTTTTAAACTGAAAAGTTAGTTTTGGGTTATTAATGGGCAGAATCACCCACTAATCATTTCTGTTTCTTGAAGATTTTAGAAGATTGTGGAGGGTCTGATGGTTGTTCCCAAAATTGAATAATTAGATGTTGGTTTCTCATCAGTATGGCAAATGCTGCAGTTTGTCCTTCCCTGCCACTTCTTTTTTTTTCTTCTCTTTTTATGACACAGTAAGATAGAATTAGTGGTGGTTGATTGATGAAATAAAGAGAAATAAGGTGCGCAAGTTCCTACCTATTAATGTGCATTGTGTCTAAACCTTTTTAAAAAACAAAATAATTTTTTTAAATTAAATTAAAAAAAACATTGTCTTTGTCTGATGGCTTTAATTGTAGAGCTGTTTAAAAGCTGTCTAATAGTTTTCAGTCAACTTTTATTTAAAACATTTTTAAACTGTCTTTTTATATCTGGTTTGGTACTATGCACACTATATTAAATCTTTGTTTCTCTGTAGTATATTAATGGACATAGGATTCATAGAAAACTGGGGTTATACTGCCGTCTACAGTAGGGTTGAACACTAAGACACATACTATATATATATAAATATTTAAAAAAAGTGTCCAACATACTCCTAATGAAGAAATCTTTTGTGACATATTATAAATGCAATGCGTTCATCAATGTGCCAGTAAAAGACTCCACTCCCTGTAATGTGCTCTACTATCTTCACGATCCACTCACCAGATGTGGTGGACCATGTATGAAAAATGGTCAAATGCGTTTTATTCTATATCCACACTCCGGTGGACTTCCCGTCTCTAGGCAATGTTGCTCATCTCCCTCCAAGTGTAAACAGGACTGCGCTATTATTCTCAGATGATGTGATTGGGAGAAAAAAAAACACGCGTTTGTTGCGCGTTTCTTTTACCCCACATACGCGGTAAAAACGTGCGGCAAACGCGCATATTCCATACGCCTAGGTGTGAACCCAGCCTAAGACTCAGATTGCCCCAGGAGAGTGTAGTATGCCAGCCTATTTAGGTTTCAAACAGATGCTCCCTGGCTCATCCCAGGCATTAAGAATTTTTGTTGCATGGACTGATTTTCTACCCTTCTCAGTCCCTAGGTTTAATGTCATAGATTTGGAAGCCCAGGTTCTGGGTGATAGGGGCATCACATTATCTGTTATTCCTAATATGCTAAAGGTGTGAAGTTCTACAACCAGAAAGATGTACCGATAGAATTGGGAGTGCTAGAGGGTGCTCTGAATCCAGGGCCTTTCAGCCCAAGAGGTGTTTTCGTTTCTGCAGCTCAGTGTACAATCAAGGGCCAGGTCTCTGCATTTGCTATCCTTTTCCAGAGAATGCTGATTAAAATCTCCATTTAGGGCATCATTCATGTGGCTTCCCCTGTCATATTCCCTCTACCCACATTGGAATTCAAATCTGTTGGGTCTCCAAATGGCTTTGCTTGTGGGTAACTGAACCGACTGCCCTGTCTTGCAAGGAAACTTTTGGTTCTTCACAGGGATTAGGTTGTTTTGAGAACTAGGGCTTATTTGCATCTGAAGCTGCTATTGTTTTTTTTTTTGTTTTTGTTTTTTTTTTAGCTCCATAAGAATATTGTCTTGCTATCCGTGTATCCAACACCAGTTCAGAAAAATATTATCCTTCATTGCTTGCATTTGGTCTAAGTTGTTAGTGTGTGTTCATATCTGTTTTGCAGCCATGATTTCCTTGAGAATAACTAATTCATGTCTTGTCATCCTGGATGGGCCCTGCAAGGGTATTATTCCACCTTCTAGTTTCATCATCCATCAAAACCTTGTTTGAGCTAATGATCTAAAGAATATGATTTCCAGCTTTTCCTTTAAATGCCCACTCCAGTAGGGCTGTGAGCACTTCTTGGACATGTTAGCATCAGACCTCACTTTCCCAGGTCTGTAAGGCTGACACCTGGTCCTATGTTCACACAATCTCAACATTTTTCAAGGTAGATGTCTCGGCTTCTGTTGATGCCAATTTTGGATGCAGAGTGTTGTAGACAGCTCTGCAAGTTGTGCACAGTTCTTTTTTGTTATTGGTCTGTTAGCCTGTGTTGTACACCCTTCTTGTTGGACTACTTTTGGAAATCCCAGTTGTCTGACAATCCTGTGTCCCTCAATGGACAATAAAGACAACTGCATTTTGTACTCACCGTAAAATCTTTCTCTCAGTCCATTGGGATTCTTGTGCTTATGACCATTGCTCTTGGTACAGCTTGATGCTGGATGATTGAGGGACTGGCCTACAGTTTTTTGTCTTCTACTGTCCAGTCCAACTGTATGCATCAGTACAGCTTAGTAGTCTAAGAAGTATATGTCCTAAATGGACTGGATTTTACTGTGAGTATTTTTACAATTACCGGTAAACATTTAATAAATGACAAATGATTCCCCAAGCACAATGTATTAGCTAAAGAGACAGTATGTAACAGAAATGTGTCACTGCAATGGGTCCATAACTTGTGTGTGTCAAGCCCTGCCTGATCTATTGAGTTCTCTAAACAATATATTTTTTAGCCAACCGATATGTACAAACCTCTATACATTCCATTTAAGTAATGTATGGGATCTCCACACAGCATGATTTATATTTCAGACTATCTGATCAAACACTAATTAAGTATGTTTTTTCTATTCTGTTTGCATTGATTATTTGCACTTTTCAATGTCTAAAGCTACATAAGTGAGACAAAAGCTATTCAATATAATCTGAGAAACCTTTTAAGAAAGAGTCCATCAATACTTTGCAGGTGACAGCAACTTGCTACATTATGGGCTTTTATTGTGGTGGTGGTTATTCTTTACTATGAAAGAAAAAAAAATTGCTAAGCTTATAGCAAATATCAAACGTAATGTGTACATGCCGAAATTTCTGATGTGCAAACCTTGCAATCATATTGAATCTGGAAGCATTGACTACTATGGTCTGTAGACTAGTTGTCACTGATCCAAGTTTAATTGACTCAACAAAGATTAGAATTGTTTGAGAATATCAGTCATTTGTTTTCTTTCATTGTGTTTTACTTGTTCTGGCTGAAATAAAATATTTATGTACTTTTAGAATAAATCCTTTAAATTGATAATTACTTTTTCAAGAAACTTGTACCTATGGTGGGTCCATTGAATTAGAATTATTGACATTTTCCTCAATATTTCCTGCTTGTTTATAGTTGGACAGGTAAAATTTGACCCACCGATGAGAAAAGAAACGGAGCCACATCACGAGTTGGTGAGTAGTTTGGGATTAATTACCTTACAACTTCAGTGATTGATTTGTATTCAAACACCACAGAGACCAACCAAATCAAGGGACCCTATTGTCACCTTCCAGGTGTATGTTGTTGCTGTACATTGTTAACAATAGCCTGTATAGCTTTGATTTGTGTGAAAGTGCTCCAAATGTTTCACTTAAACACCATGCAGAAATCTATTCATAGCACATTTTTTAGCATTATTTAGCATCTTAAATCTGCTTTTCCCTTTTTTGTTCTCCTTAAAGATCCTGCATGTGGCAAATAAGTTAATAAGGTCAGACAGATTGCTTTTATTTTACTAATGCTTTTTAGGTTCAACTAACTTTTTTAGTCTATTTCAAAGAGATATGTGGTCTTGCATGAAGGTACCCATACGTGTAGTCAAATTGTCATATATTCTGAAAGTATTCACTTTTGTGTATCAATATTACTGTATATAGATAAAATGATCACTTGGATCAACACCAGTGGGCTAAACTTTGATTAGATAAATTGTAAAATCTTGAATATTTTAACAAAAAAATCTCTTCTTATTAATAAGAGCTAAACCAGCGTTGTACCTCGCAGTGGTTAAGGCAATCATCTGACAAGCTTTGTCTAGTGGTCGATGTGCTCGTTGTGTAAAAAGTCTTCCAAGGGTGTAAACTTACCAATGGAAGGGTCATAGGTCCTCGTGTATGGGTACCATAATCGGTTTGAAGTGTTTACACATTAAATAGCTGTGCAGTTATAATTAATTTGACAGTATCTGCAGTTGTTCCACTAGCAGGTTTGTATATTGAACCCACTAACAAAATACTTTTGTATTTTGTAATGATTTACATTTACTATAGACAACCAGGTTATAAAAGAAGCATGCCTTTATGATTGTTGGCCGTGTGGTGTTAGCCAGCCAACTGCCTGCTTTTGTTCTCCTTTACAGCTTGTGAGTGATTCCCTGTTGTGAATGTGCAGCTTTCAATCTTACTGTAAATAACTTGGGTATCTGTCTGCTAAACAGCTCAACAGGGAAGATTTTTTCGACAGTACAGAAGAAATATACTACACTGCAAGATCTAATCTGGTATATTCTCCTTTTCTTTGTCAACTTTAACTTTGTGTCCTCTTTCTTGGCTTTCAAAGCAATCTAGATGTTTTTTTTATGTTTTTCATTTCAAGTGATATGAACAGTATAGTTCTGTCTGGACTTTATGTATCGTCCATATTATGTACAATGCTTAGAGTATACAGGAGAGATCTTCTAAGCCCTAAGTGGAAGAGACCAATATCCTCTGGAAACTGCAGTTGTTTCTATCAATTTTATTTTAGGTTTACAAGCTTTAAAACAAAGTTTTATAATAGAGCCTCACCCATTACACTGGCTTTGAAGAGCATTCTGGGTTTTATAAATGTAGAGGACAACACTAGCTTTGTTACTGCATTTTGTTAATTGACTATCCTGTTGATCTGTCACCAATTCAGCAGTTTATGTAATTTGAGCTTCTACTTTATTAATAGACATTTCTCTCCCATTCATTGAAGGACACAGGGAACAGATCAGAGATCATGTACTGTAGGGTAATATCGCCACCTGCAGGAGAAGGACGCTAGGCACAAAACTAAAGACCAATTACAGCCTAGGGGCGGCCCCTGCCGGAGGCCAAAACCCCCTACCTGCTGACAAGTCTCCAGTTTTTTGCCTAGCGTCAGGAGTAAGGAGCTAAGAATTTTTTCTCGGGTATTCTTACCTGCTTCTTCCTGATTTTTTCAGATCTTCTAGCAAGTGTTATCCGGGCGACAGGCTGGATGTCTTGGATTCTTCGAGTCTCCCCTGGATGACCAGCGAACGCATGCAGACCCGCTGTGGTGGGTCGGCTGGGTGACCTGTGGGTTCGTCCCAGGGGGGTGCATATGACTGGGGGTCTCGTCCACCCAGTCACAGCATTTCCTTCAGGTTCCTGGCGCTGCGGTCGGGGGCGCCGATTTTTCCGCAGGCCCCTGTGCGCCTGGACTTTGATGTCCCCTGCAAGGGTTCCTAGCTGCGGATGGCCCGCGCCCTCCTGTGGTATGTATGGCGCTGCGTGGGATCGGTTCGTGGCCAGGACCCAGGATCCTTGGGCGGATGCGGTGGACGCCCTGGTGGCGCCGTGGGATTGCTACGGTCTGATTTACGCGTTCCCTCCACTTTACACGTTCCCTCCACTGTATCTGTTGCCGCATCTTCTTCGCACGGTCGTGGTGGAAAGCGTCTCGGTCATCCTCGTGGCTCCGGATTGGCCAAGGAGGGCGTGGTACGCAGATGTGGTTCGGTTAGTGGCGGACGTCCCCTGGCGCCCGCCCACCCG